TTTGTATCCGATTTTCTTGAGATAAAGGCATTTTTAATAATAGTGGTGATAAAACAACGCGTTGAAGAAAGGAAGTGGGTGGCGTAGGGAGAAATTCGTCGCTCGGTGGTATTCGTCGCTCGGTGGTATTCGTCGCTCGGTGGTTGATTACGTTACACTGCGCATCCGAGGAACGATCCTATTCAGAAGTACTGAGCACAATGATTGGCATTTAGTCCCTGAGTATTCTTGTATTTGCAAGTCTGATGACAAGCAGAAAGTCTCCATGCTCCGTTAAGTCCGTTGGTAGGAAACTCAAGTCGGCTATCCACCTTCGGTGCATTCGTGTCTTCTCCCCGAGGCCTGGAACAGTTCCGCTGTGAATCTTGCCTGGTTCGGTAAATCTTCCGCCCGTCAAATCTTCTAGGGGGTCCGTACTATGTAGTAGCGCGGTACGTAGTGTGGTAGAAGTCCAATGTGGCTTCAGGACAGATAACAAAGACATTGTCTAGATAAAGAGTACAGGGTGCGTCTTCCTTGGCTAGGTAAGCTAGTTTTGGGACGCTCGCTCTTAGCCTGGCGGAAAATGTGTTGAGAATACGCATATCAAAAATATAGAAACAAGAAATGGGAAATAAACAGTTGAATCAAGTGCTTCAAAGTGCGGATAGACTCGAAGCTGTTCCCTGCCATCAAGGAACACGGTGTAATGCCTTCTTTCTCAGGTGTCTGCGTTCCGGTCATTCAGCAGTGGATGATGTCAATTCGCCTCCTGGAGGGAGAGATCCACCAGTAGATAGAGCTGAGGTGCACCAAACGAAGAAACACACCGTAGATACACCCAAATAGCCCGCAATTTCTCGGGCGAAAAACTCTCCGCCTGTCCAGAAGAGAGTCGCGCTGAGCAACCAGACTAGATAGTAGATACGACTACTGCACGTACCTGCAGGTCTCCACTTCTTCACGTCCCTCAATCGATATGAGACTTGTGAGTGGCACAAAAACGGCCAGAGGCAAAGCTGGAACCCCGCTTTGTTGCGGGGTCCAGGGGATAAACTCACGAGAAACATACAGCAATCGTAGGTAATTACTGGATCCTGTTACGTATCGTCTCAGATGACTTTCCCCTCGCCTCCTTTACCTTTACCAACAAGAGCTTGATACACCAGGTCCCTCTGGCCTCTGCCATGGTTACCTTATTATAATAATGAGAGTCGTCCCTCCCTCCTTATCCCCTGTCTTTCTGCCTCTGTGATACCCCTACCCTACTTCTTACTAATCATTTCATACATCCCAACATGTCCGACCTTTATACCACTATCGAGACCCCCCAGGGCAAATATGAGCAGCCCTTGGGTTTGTATGTTTTCCTTGTATATCCTATCTTTACTTCTCTATTCATGTTGTTCTAATTGTTTCTCGTTCCTAGGTTCATCAACAATGAGTTCGTGAAGGGTGTTGAGGGCAAGACCTTCGAGACCATCAACCCCACCAACGAGAAGCCCATCGTTGCTGTCCACGAAGCTACTGAGAAGGATGTCGACATCGCCGTTGCTGCTGCTCGCAAGGCATTCGAGGGTGCCTGGCGCCAGGTTACTCCCAGCGAGCGTGGCCGTATGCTTACTAAGCTGGCCGATCTGATGGAGCGTGATATGGACACTCTTGCTTCTATCGAGGCTCTCGACAACGGCAAGGCCTTCACCATCGCTAAGATTGACCTGGCCAATGCTGCCGGTTGCCTGCGCTACTACGGTGGCTGGGCTGACAAGATCCACGGTCAGACCATTGACACCAACCCCGAGACTCTCACCTACACCCGTCACGAACCCATCGGTGTCTGCGGTCAGATCATTCCCTGGAACTTCCCCATTCTGATGTGGTCCTGGAAGATCGGCCCTGCCATCGCAGCTGGTAACACTGTCGTCATCAAGACTGCTGAGCAGACCCCCCTGTCCGCCCTCTATGCCGCTAAGTTGATCAAGGAAGCTGGCTTCCCCCCTGGTGTCATCAACATTATTTCTGGCTTTGGTCGTGTTGCTGGAGCTGCTATTTCTAGCCACATGGACATTGACAAGGTTGCTTTCACTGGTTCCACCCTTGTCGGCCGTACCATTCTCCAGGCCGCCGCTAAGAGCAACCTCAAGAAGGTGACTCTTGAGCTTGGTGGAAAGTCCCCCAACATTGTCTTTGAGGATGCAGACATTGAGAACGTAGGTTCAACCCCATGAATTCCTCCGCGGTTCTTGGCATCTCTCGAATTCCCCGCCCCGTTCAGTCCCCCAAACTGCACCCTCATCGCAACACCACATTTCATTTGTTTCTAACATCAATTTTGCGCAAATTATAGGCTTTGAAATGGGTGTCGTTTGGAATCTATTTCAACCATGGCCAGTGTTGCTGTGCAGGATCCCGTATTCTTGTCCAGGAGTCGATCTACGAGAAATTCCTGGCTCGGTTCAAGGAGCGGGCGGAACAGAACAAAGTCGGCGATCCTTTCGATCTCCAGACATTCCAGGGACCTCAGGTTTCGCAGCTGCAGTTCGATCGCATCATGGGCTATATTCAAGATGGGAAGCAGGCTGGTGCAAGAGTGGTCACTGGCGGAGAACGCCATGGTGACAAGGGATACTTCATCCAGCCCACTATCTTTGCGGATGTCAATGGCGAGATGAAGATTGTTCAAGAAGAGATCTTCGGCCCTGTTTGCACTGTGCAGAAATTCAGCACAGAGGAGGAGGCCATCAAGCTTGCTAATAGCACCAACTATGGTAGGTGTTCCAGATATGCAACTGCTTCATCCGTGCTAATCTCATGGACAGGTCTTGCCGCTGCTGTCCACACCACAAACATCAATACAGCAGTTCGCGTATCAAACGCCATCAAAGCTGGAACTGTCTGGGTCAACAATTACAACATGATCTCGTACCAGGCACCATTCGGTGGCTACAAAGAATCGGGTCTTGGCCGTGAACTCGGCGCTTACGCTCTGGAGAACTATACTCAGATTAAGACAGTGCATGTTCGGACAGGCGATTGCCCATTCCCCTGAAGCCGATGACAGGCTGCGCTTTCGAACGACATTGCTGTGATTGACGAATCTTTTTTTTACGTTCAGACATGAAATAATCTCAAGGATGAGAATTCTCAGATAGTGACATTCATAGTCCTTTGAATCATACTAGCGATGCCAGCAATCACCCTAGATCGCGTACCCTAGACTTGAAGCGTCGTATCTACCTTTGATTTCTTCCTGTAGCATTGCTATCAGTACCACTGGCAGTATAACGCCATGCCAGACATACAGCAGTTAAGGTCGATTCTATCTTCCGCCTTTCACCTACAAACCGTACAGTTCAATCATGCCAACACACCTATCTATTTCTAAGCCTCAAGAAAAACGGCGTAACCGACCCCTACTACATTGCGGCTTAGTCAGTCGGTTACCCCAAAGTTTCGCCCTTGAACCGTTCTTCATGTGTTGCATCAGCCCTGCTTCAAAGCTGAGGTAGGAATCGTAGAGAGATAGCCAGCCGCTGACTCTGTGATGCTACCAGTACGAGCTACTGCACCTCCTATCTACCCCACTCATACCCCATATAGCGAAGAACAGTCATAGCAAAGAACAAACACAGCAACGACGTCTTCACCATCTCAATTTCCTCTCCATGGTGCCGCAACCAGTTCCGCGCTCGGCCCACCCACACGGACCGCCCATTGTCCTTGATTGCAGACCAGAGCCCCGGCAACCCATCCAAGCTGCGCACATTCCACTGCTGCTGATACGAGCGGAGCTGGTTCTTCTCGACCTTGTTTCTGACAGAGTGGACCAGAGTCTCGCGGTCTTTGAGGTACGGTTTGGGCTCGTGAGTCTCCGGGTCGAGTGCGAGGGCCAGTTGCGGGACCCCGTACCCGCAGGAGGTTTGGACCTGCGACAACAAGTGGTTTAGCTACTGGATCCTTACGACCAGTGTATTCGATCGAAAAGATACTACGAAGTAATAACATCACTAATCAGACCTTGTAAACATCCAAACGTATAATAGCACGCGCCCCGAGGACCTTCTTGTTTCCCATGCGTTCCAAGTAATTCGGGAACTCGGGCTGATCCCACTCGATCACCGAGCCATTACAGAAGAAGCGCAAGATGCGTGGGGCAGCATCGAAGGAGCAGAACAGAACCGTGATCCGACCGTTTTCTCTCAGATGGGAAATGGTCTCGCTGCCAGACCCCGTTGCATCGATATACGCTGCTTCGTTTGGGCTGAGGATGGCGAACGAAGCATCGGGCAGGCCCTTTGGCGAGAGATTGACATGTTTGCCGCGCAGTGGGGCCGAGGCCACGAAGAAGACGCTCTGGCGGAGAGCCCAGTCGCGGAGTTCTGGGGAGATCGAAGGATAGAAGTGAGGCATGGTGTGGTTGAATGGGACGATGAAGACCTCTGGGATACGATGGTGAGATGTCCATAGTGACGGCCAATAATGAGTCATCTGGTGAGACATTGCAGGGATTCGTGATCCGGAGTCTCTGTGTGACTCGAATAAGAGTAACGCTCCGCATGTTGTCATTCCTTACACCTCCTTCCTGCCTCGAGGTATTGATATAATCCTCGGTATCGCTATTATGGAGGTGAATTGTCTCAGTCACGTCTCCGTAGTCATTATGAAATTTTGTGTTCTGATCCCAATGAGAACTTGCGTTAGGACCACAGGCTTTTCAGGCAGTCCTCCCCAGAAAGAGCCATCTTCGCGAAAGCCTTTCCTTGGACGTTGATTTGTTAGTAACAAGCTCACATTTATCATTCTCGGAACTGGGAGAGGAGTTCCAGTTTCGTCTCCCCTCTATGCTTGTACTAGGAGTCATAATGTACTCCGTGTCGGGGTAGATAACCCGAGGAGGCGTCTCGCGGTGCATTACCCCGAACGTCCCCCCACAATCAGTTTTCACTTCTCACCCACCACATCCAGCATTGACTTCTTCATGGGATTGTGGATATGCAAAATCATACTTGTGGTCTTGTATGAAATTATGATACATCTGATACGAATATTTCGATCATAGAACATACTCATTATTGGTGAAAAAACACTCCCGGGACGAAAGAAGAATTATGCGCATCGAATACACTGAAAAGAGTTCGTGATCAACTGTATCAAGTTTTGATGAACAAGCATGGCTATGTGTCTGAGGACATCAGCATAATTACATACTCCAGCTTTTACAGCTGCACATATGTTCAAAGTCCCATGAAGCTGCCAATATTTGGCTCTCCGTCCCTTGGTCTTACAAGCCCCATTACTGCATTGTCTATGTTTATGTCACTAAACAGACACAACGGAAAGCCTCCAATACGAAGCTCTTCCCAGAAGTGATGAATGACATCGTCGACCAAGAATAGGTTGCAAGATGACCATTGTTATCTTCAATTTGCTCTGGGGTCAGGCGTAACTGAGTATGCCAGGGCAGTTGAGCGTCAGCCGTCCACACGGGACAGGATCAAGCAGCATGTCCGAAGGCAGGGCACTAAAGTCATGGGCCCGCCTCCTTGGCCTGAGTAATGCTTTCACTATGACAAAACGCGATTGTAAGCGGAGTTGATGTCCAATATCCGTTTACAGGTGGACTTGTCGAAGTCAGAGATCCGAACAATAGCATACAGGATTTTCCACAGTTTCCATAAGCAACGAGAGCAGCAAAACTCGAACCGACAGTAAAGACAAAGGGGTCGAGGATATGGACCCGCTCATGAGAAATGCTTTGGTTGCTTTTGAGAATCTTTGCTTCCCATCTCTTCAGCCTTCTATTTGAGATAGTGCGACGGAAAGGGAATTGCTGCGTACCAGGAAAGTGACCTCTCATGCTAAGGACGTCCACTATGAGGTCTCCTAGCCCAAGAAAGGGTTAGGACCGAAACAGAAGGTGGGGATGATCAAGGAAAGGTTGAGGTTGGGGTCTTTATTGCGAAGCGCAGCAGAGCACCCCTCGCTACGTTCAAAGAAGTCAGAGTCCGTCCAAGAACCAAAAAAAAAAGCCCGGGAATAGGAAGCATCGTACCTCGAGTAGGCTTGATCATTAAGAGGTGGTACGATAGAATTCTCTGGTGCTTGTTCCATTTGGTCCTTCTGAAAAGGCATTCTCAAGCTTTGCCAGGCTCTCTTTAGCCAGTAGTCTGTTGGCAATCGCACCGGAAAACACGAGACTAATGAGTCTCGACCGGAACAGGCGTTCTGATGCTTTCGAGATCATCGAAGTCTACCCCCGCGAGACATGTAGTGGTGAATTTCTGTGGATTATAGAAGCTTTCTCTGCCTCTGCGGATTGCAGAGAGGCTGATAAGTCGACGACTGAGTCGGAGCCTTCCTCGAAGGCCATGACGGTGCCCGAGAAGCATTGACGGGCTTTCGATAGCTCTTTCGGTTGCTGACAGGTCAGCGAAAGATTATTGGAGAATGACGGGCTAACTGAGAGATGAATTTGTCGATAAAAGAGAAAACATGAGTGCTGAAGAGGGTATTCTGGTGAGGAATGCAAGATGGGAGAAGAAAACAGGTGTGTTCTTACCAGGGAAGTTCATCGAAAGGATGCCGTGACGTACCTTCCACATCCATATGGCAGCCGTCAGAAAACGCCTGTCAGTTCGAGGCAAAAAGAATCGGCTGTCAATGTCCAGTGATTGTATCGCAAGAAGGATTATTCCTCGTGCGTCAAGTTACTCACTTTTAAAGTGGAATTGCTTGGTTGAATGAGAAGAGTGCCAGGCAACAGAAGAGACGAAAAGGATGATGACAGGAGCGAGAAATCAGTACAGTGATGTTCAAGGTAGAGAAAACATTAAAGGGTAATTCATCAGTATGAGAGGCAAGTTCTTAGAGTCTCTGCGGCCTGAAAACAGTAGTGAGGGAGATTAGGTAGGACCTTTTAGGAGAGAAGTCTGCTGAGGTATTTGTGGATCACATGCTTAGACAAGTATTCACTAGAACACAACATTTCTGGACATGCTACAGCTTATTCATTATCATTTTCCCAGACATGGTAAAGCTAGAAGGAAGCTGTCTCATAGCAGTATTCACAGTAATATAGAGTGAGGCCACTCTATGAATGTGAGGTATTGCAATCAAATCTTTTGTTTAGGAAAGAAGCTACCCGTCCCACAACTTGCCTAAATGGGTAGAGATGAAGCCATATTATTTCCCAACTCGGTATACAAGCATGAAATATGTGGGGTATCATCAACATACATGGATGGAGTAGTAGCAGGTTGAGAATGTGAAAACTGTATTGTACAAGATAAAGTCAATACAATAAAAAGTTAAAGGCGGAAATCGACATGGGACGACTCTGAGCCTTGGCCTGTCAAACATCCTAGAAGAGTGTATTGTTAAGAAACGGCAGTAGATGTTCTGGATTGTGACACAAATATCCGGGATACTGCTGATAGGTAGGGAAAGGTTTGACGGTCAAAATGAATCTGGTAGACTGGTCGAGCTCTCTATTCAGAATCCTGGGCCACTAGTGATACATTGTGACGGTTTGCGAAGACGGTGCACAGAACTACAATACCAAATGGAAGGTCAAATTAAACAGTGGCTCGGAATGATGCATTCACAGTGGGTTCATATCACTCGTTCTGTCTTGCAGCGGAAGTGTTTCTTCTGTAAAGGGGAAGCTATCCCACAACGGTAGCTCCATGCCCTCCCATTCCAATGGGACGCTGTTGATATCAAAGGGACTCGTCAGTGTGGCCAGATTACCGGTGCTCCCGCCCTCCGTCTGGCGTGATGCCCTACGGCCATTCAAGCTGAAAAGCTTGCTCACATATTGGCTTTTGCTGCTTTGATCCTGGTTCGAGAGTCGTTGGCGTTGTTCGGCGATAGCGTTGCGGAGAAACGTGAGAATTTCGTAGTAGTGGCCCGCTTGGGCGGACTGCTGGGAGAACATGTGGAGGATGTCGATGGCGCCAGTGAAGGCTTCTTCGAGATCGGGGTTTGGGTCTCTTTGCGAGAAGAGCGAAAATCCGACAACGAGAGCTGCAGCGAAGATGAAGGCTCTGATGGAGATAATCATTTAGCATAGGCAGTATGTTACGTTGTGTGTACAACTCACTTTAGGATGCACATGTTTCCTAGGAGTAAATGGGAACGATGAATCTCCAGGCAAGTTTGAAGCATGTAAAGGGCTGAGTCTGTGCAGGCGAGCGCCAGCCGGGAATGTACGGGGTTCTCTAAGAAGACGTCGCCCAGATTTCGTTCAGCGAGTTTGTCATGTACTCGGGCCAGCCGGACTCCAAGGGCTGATATCAGGAATGGTCTCGTCACTATGATGACGGCAAAGTGGTAGGAACAGGCGATGTGCAAGCTGCCTATGACACGGTCCTGAGCAGCAAGACATTCCTGTTCCGTGCCTGGGGGCGCAAGCAAAGATTCCGGCAGACCATCGCTCCACCGCTTAAGCTTCTCCAGTATCGACTCGGCGGCCTGCGCTGAAGCTGCCTTTTCGCTGTACAAGCGAGTGATCGTCTCATCCAGAATTTTGGCGAGATTATATAATGCCACCAGTCCTTCCTCGGCAAGGTCATTGTGCTGTACTGCCTCAGTGATGCTGGCTCCTGATTCCCAGCGGAGTGACGCTGTTGCGGGGGGTCGCCCGAGGATGGAGCTGACGAGGAGATCAAGGTTGCATAAACTCATCCAAACACATGCTCTATTTTAGGATATTGTGTATTAGCGAAGAAGTGACATCACAGTGAACCCATGGAGATACCTTCGGTGCTGTTCGTTGACCGGTAGCGAACCAGAGACATCGATGTGTAGACCGAGCGCCACAGCTGCTCGAGCGGCCACCCCAAGATACATGAAAGCAGCATTTCTGCGACACGCACCAAGCATGTAGAACGACATCAGCAGAAACAAGCATACCATCTCTAGACTGGGGTTCTCCAGCATGCTGACAAACGCCCGGCGTTGCCCCCTCGCAAAGAAGAAGTGCTCAATTTGCTCTTTCGTCGGGTCGTGCTTATGCGACTGTGCGCCAATGGCAATCATGATGTCGAGTAGAGCTGTTGTATTTTGTGCATGGCTGGTGTCGGAGCGCCGATTATGTAGAAGCTGCATCGATTCCGAATCCCGCATCAGATAGAGGAAGCTACTTGTCTGTAGGCACAGATGATCAGCGGGGTATTTCGACGGACTCGGTTCAATAAAGCCTCGGACAGGTCTGGTATATCTTACTGCAATCTGGTATGCTTGAAGCAAGGCTTGACGCTGCTCGAGATCCAACTGGTCTTCAAAGTCCGGCGAGACATTCTTGGGCGCTTCTGTTTCGAGCATGTCCTCCAATCTAACATTGTGTGAGAACTGTGATGGGCCTATATGTTGGGTGACTGTATCTCGCAGTAACTGCAGGAAGGATAGCGACGCAGCGCTGCCCACATAGACTGGAAAACATGTCAGCCCGAGTGTTTCAGTGTGGCATTATCAGCTGCCACACATACCTCTTTCCCCCTGCAGGTTGCGCAACATTCGAGGACGCGTTTTGTGTGGTGCTTCAGGAGAGGCCGATCCCTGGTCGACAGAGGTCTGGAGCTGTGCATGACATTGGGGATCTGTGGAAGACGGTATCTGGGACGGCGTGATAGCAACAACAGGCCGGCTTGGCGCATCCGGCGTGTTGGGTTGCCCTGAAGCTGAGAATGACTCCCTTCGTCTGATTGGCATACACGAATGCGCCTGTCCCTTCCGAATGCAGTTTTGGCATGGGAAAGATCCGCTACATCTCCTCTTGGATGTTCTGCAAAATAGACAGGCCTCGTATGCCCGCAGACGGTTGGCGGGATGTACTTTTGGTCGTGCCATAGCCGATATCAATGTCTAGCAACGACGGAGATCCACATGTTCATGTCGTTGGAAGCGATGCGGCTGTCAAAATAGCTTGAGTACCGATGACATTTTATTTTTCCAGTCTTGCAGGGGGGAGATAAGGTCTCCCCGCATTTGAGCCATGCTTTATTATTCGGCTTATCGGTTATCGTCGTCGTTGAAACTCTCATGTGGGCGGGGGGTACTTATGATCTCCAAATATCCCTCTTCCGACAGATAAGTCCCGTGACTTGATGTACCTGAGAGCTTCGTCGATGTTTGAAAAATCTCCATTGGGTTGTAAGGTGTATGGTTATCATGAATGTGATGCAATCACACTATCGACAGATGTTGCGATTGAAGTTTTCTCCATGACCATGAACATCGAAATATGTGGCAGCCGACCAAACTGTAGCGAGATATATATATACTTAAACCAAGCACAGACCCCAACAACTTTACAACTCACACATCGCTTGCGCATCGGCTGGACCAGCCTGTTCTCTAGTAACTGCAAAATATCAATACCTCAACAACATGATCATCCACAGTAGAGGTGGAAAATCGGATTCATGGCGAAGCTCATGAGAAAGCCTTTCCAGGTTTGAGATGGATATTAGAGGATATTAGTCTATGAATGTAGATTAAACTTCGTCTTTTCCCCTTTGCCCGAAGGGATAGATCTACGTTTTTTTTTTGACCCCTAGTTTAGGTCACTGGTTCGAGACCGGGACGTATTTGTTCCAAGGAGAGAAAAAAATGGTCGAGGCAAGCTCAAGCAAATTTAATCAGCACAAGAAACCCCTCGACAACAGGACGCAGCAGACAGAACTAAGCAGATACCGCAATGCCGTTAACTACTCGAATAGTGTCGATAGCAACGCAGTGTGACTTAACACTACTCCGTACACGAATCCTAATGTCGAGTCTCTGGCACACCGCAGACCAAGAGCCTCAGTGTCATTTTGAACAGTGAGAAAAGATCTACGTAGTGTAGGGTCATTGCGTTTTGTAAGCTCGACTCTCAACTTGAATACAACCATGAGGACTCTAAGTTTCCTCCATATAGAGTGCCAGATGCAATTGATAGGCCCTCATATGAAGGAGTAGGTGTAATCGAGCAGCTTGACTATATTGTCCCGGAGTCTTGTAGAAGTGTGGTACTCGGACCGATCATGATGGAGGCCATCATCCCAGAATGATCCGGGTTGGCATTGGATGAATGGAGTCTACAGTCATCCCTAAGCCTGTAATTCTGCTTTCTGCTTCAATGGAAAGTTCAGTATTTACAGATACATGGTTTCAACTTCGGCATGCCGAAATAGCTAAGGAGATACTATTCCGCAATAAGCAAACGCCATACTATGATAGGTACTGCTCACAGCCTCACAGGTCACTTTGACCTGTCTGCCAAAGGCAGCTCAAGTGAAAGAATCATACTAATAATTGATCACATTTCTGTTTCTCAGGCAAGTCCAGATCCAGACCGGCATCTGAATTGTAAAGAAGACTCGGACCGTCGGATGGCATGGACGGTGTTCTCGAATCTCTTGCTTTCAAATCACGGCATTCTATGAGTTCCCATTTGTCATCGTATCCTCATGAAGCCAATCAACAGCCACTGAGAAGGGGATGTTCACAGGAACCATCCCTGATGTTGAAGTTTTAAACTGGATCCCCTTCGCTGGCGAGCTCGGTGACAGTCCAGCCAGCGGAGCGGAAAATTGTTCACCAAGTCTGATTGGTCCAGCGGGTGGCCCACCGAGCAAACCAAGCAAACAGCAAAATTTTCGCTTGCGGGTAGCGCACTCGCTAGCGCCAGGTCGCAAATATAAAAGGCCCCAGAATCCCATTCATTTTGAAAATCAAGCGACTCTACGTATGTTCTCCCCCTCCCTACCTTTGGGAAAACCTCTCGACTTCGAGTCAAAAACATCTTGCTAACAATTCTGCCACAGTTCAAAGAATCACTTTAGAGTAGACGTCCCACCTCTGAGCTCTTCTAAAGAGCCACAGAATCTCCACCCTTGCTGATGACTGCTATGTCCTCGATGCCCTAAAGTGAAGCCGTTCTTACTCCCGCCTCGACCTTGCTTCGTTCCGACGCTCTGAACGACTCGTTGCAAAACGGGCTTGTTCGGGCTGTTGGATGTTGCTCTGGTCCAGGGAGTGGTGATGATCTTGACCTTGTCCTGACGTCTAGACTTCGGTCGGTCGGACTTGGTGGGTGTCGAGGAGGTCTGAAAGGTGCCCCCTCTTTTACACTTTGATGTTGGTGTAATCAGGAAATCGGAGTTTGCTCACTTTTCGTCTACTCAGGTTAGATAGAAGAAATAAGGACTTTCTGCATGATAACTTGTTTTTTTCCCACAGTAGACTTGAATTGTAGCTCGCAAATTTTTCTTGTCGGTGGAGAACATAACCGCTCATCGTCCCTCTTATGTCCAAGCAGTAAATTTAACTACGCATTTACCTCTCGCTCTTGGTCGCTTTTTTATAAAAAAGGGCATACGGGAAACTTTCGGTTTCATTAAGACATTAGATGGGTATCACTACACTGTACCATGCAACATGCTTTTCTGTATGCATCTCTCATTTCGCCCTCTCATTTCGCCTCCCCACCGGTCTTCCCACTGGCATTTGCTCCGTTGCTCTTCGAACTGCCCTTGTTCCTGGATCCACGACCACCACGCGGTCCACGAGACGAAGATGGTGTTCCTGGTCCAGATCCCCCTTCTGAGCCCTGCTTGGCACCACGATTGCTGTTGTTGCTGCTGCCATTAACAGGGGCGGGATGCTCGCTGCGACCCTTGCCGCGACCCTTTTCTGCACCAGGATTTATCTTGCGTTCAAGCACGACGACTTGACTCTGCGCGACCGAGACAGGACTCGCGGCAATTGCTTTCTGAAGACCATCCGGTTCTGCAAAGTCGACGTAGCCAAATCCCTTCTTTTTGTCAATCTCCACCTTCAAGATCTTTCCAAAAGATGCAAATGCAGTTTCAAGTAATGGTTCCGTAACCCCTTGTGATGGATTGGCGTGCTTGAGGAATGCCTGCGTAGCCGTAGGTGAGGTAATTGGCGTGGCTGGCTTGCCTTTGGCTGATTTCGACTGCTTCGGTGCGGATGGAGCGCTAGTAGGAGGTGCGTTCGGACCAGGCTGAGCACGAGACGACGCAGGCTCGCCGGACGGAGGGGTAGCGTTGGCTTTGCTCTTTAAAGCCCCTTGTTGCGATGGTGACGCGGGTTTCCCAGACTTGATATCCTTCTTGCCAGTATCTGGAGCAGCAGCGGCAGCAGCGTCCGGCTCTTTCATGCTCGTGTCCGTCTCGGTAGAAGCACCCTTACCAGCCCTCCGACGGCCGCCTGAAGGTGCAAGCCCCAAGTCTCGCTGAAGAATCTTGGCTGCCGCAGCGATGTTATTACGCTCGCGTTTCCGTTCAGTTGGAACAGGCTGAGGACTATCTTTGCTTATATTTTGGGTCGCTGCTGGTTTAGAGACTTGCTTAGCAGCAGCATTGGCAGCCCTGTTTGCTGCTTTCACTGCTTCTTTTGTCGCCTTGTCTGAGGCCCTGGGCTTTTTCTCTGCCTTTTCTCCTGTCGGCGCCTGGGCGACATCCTTGTCCGGCCGTTGCAAAAGTTTCTTCGCTTGTACCTTCTCCGACTTGGACTCCTTCTCGCCCTTTGCATGCCTCGAGGACTTGCTGGAAGCCTCTTTTGCTTTGTTGGCCTTCTTTTCCTTGATATACTGCACGAGAGGCGTAGTGGTCACCGTTTCCTTCTTTTCTTCGGCATCGGTAGGAGTTTCGACCGTGGCAGGTTTTGTAATAGGCTGAGTCAGACTTTCGAGGAAGGCGATGAATTCGGGATCCTGATCAATGGTCCCCTGGCGGGCATCCTTCCGTACACGGCTACCAGGAATTTTGGCGTAGGGGGCGAACTCTAGAGACGGCGGCCCCAGCAGCACGGGATCATTGAAGGTATTTCGAGCGTCTAGGAACGATGTCTGTCGAACTTTATCTGATAGAGGCGCAATATGCTCGCTGGATGTAACGTGGATGTAGGCGCGGGAGGGTCTGGAAGGTTTGGCATGGCTGCATCGATATTAGCTTGAAAATATGCTGATTTGATCCCTAAGAGCTGGCACTGACTCTTTGGATACCTTGCCGGGCTTATACTGGTACCAGTCGACTCTTCCTGCTCCAGCCATCCACTCGGAGCCCAGCGCATTTTCGAACTCGGATTGAGATAAACCCGGCGGTAACCGTCTCACGAGCAATTTGAGTCGTGGACCAGCTGGCTTCGGACCCCTCTTGGAGGCTGTTGATGCATTCTTCTGCGTTGCAGCTGCAGAAATCTGAAGTACACCCCCCGTTGACTTGCTATCGGACATCTGCGTCATGATGAATACTTATGAGGGGTGGGCGGGATCTACACTCCGACTAGGGTGCGAGACAACGTAAATTTCTGAGAACGAAGAGGCTGCGGACAATCTAATATTCGAAATTCGAGGTAACAAAGACCAGTGAGAATGAAATGAAAGTGAGGTTGGTCCTACCTGAGTTGACAAAGAGATACCCTTCGGTTCAAGATGAAATCAATGCTGGAAACCACCTGGGTATGTTGCGGCGAGTGAACTACGGGACACGAGGGCCGCCAAGCACGCGACCCTGCACAGACGATCAGGACCCAACTTCCTGCGGGGAAATACGTTCGCGCAAGTAAACTTGTGTTGTTTTCGTCGTTGTCAAGATCCTCCGCCGTTCATTAAGTATATCAAGAAAGTGATCTTTATAATCCCATTCTGCTAGCCTTCTAATCAAGTTTTACCTCGACCCTCTCACCAACTCGATCGAACTATCCCTCCGTCGCTTCATTCATCGCACCGCACCATGGTGGACAGCAAGATTCCTGAGCCGGGGCCGGCCAAACTGAAGCGCAATGCAGGTCCAGATGAATGGCTGGAGGCAGCCAAAGATTGCAAGTATCTGTCCGAACCACACATGAAGCAGCTTTGCGAGATCGTCAAGGAGTACATGATGGAGGGTGAGTCTGCTTAGGGGATCAAGGGATATGCTCCGGCTCTAACAGAGACTTGCGAAGAATCGAACATCCAGCCCGTATCAACACCGGTCACGATTTGTGGCGACATCCACGGCCAATTTTACGATTTGCTTGAGCTTTTCCGGGTATCGGGCGGAATGCCCGACGAGTCTGCGGTGGAGGCCCCGAAGACGCAGTCAGCTGTCATTACATCCGAAGATATCGAACCTCCGTCCACGATTTCAGATCCCAAGCTACGAAAGAAGTTGAAAAACGCCCCTGCGCCGGAGGAAGGAGGCGAAGACTCCAATGCGAGCCAAAGAAACCGGTCCTCGAGCGCTGGCTCAAGGGATATAGAGCTCAAGCGGAATTTCGTGTTCTTGGGTGATTATGTCGATCGAGGATACTTCAGTCTGGAAACCCTGACATTGTTATTATGTCTCAAAGCCAAGTGAGTGCACGCCATAGCTCCCTCTGCTACATACCAGGACTGACTTCTTCCAGATACCCTGACCGGGTAACACTGGTCCGCGGAAATCACGAATCTCGTCAGATTACGCAGGTGTACGGATTCTACGAGGAATGCTTTCAGAAGTACGGAAATGCCTCTGTATGGAAGGCTTGCTGTCAAGTATTTGACTTCATGACATTGGGTGCCATCATCGACGGTAGAGTGTTGTGTGTACATGGAGGATTGAGTCCAGAGATACGGACCTTGGACCAAGTTCGTGTGGTTGCCAGAGCCCAGGAGATTCCGCATGAAGGCGCCTTCTGTGACCTTGTGTGGTCAGACCCAGACGATGTGGAAACGTGGGCTGTCAGCCCCAGAGGAGCAGGTCGGTCTTGTTGTTCATTGACGCCTGGTCAAATGCTTACAATTCATAGGTTGGCTGTTCGGTGACAAGGTGGCCGACGAATTCTGTCACGTCAACGACTTGACATTGATCGCCCGAGCGCATCAATTGGTGAATGAGGGCTACAAGTATCACTTTGCGAACCAAAATGTGGTTACTGTCTGGAGTGCGCCCAACTACTGTTACCGATGCGGAAATCTGGCGTCCGTCTGCGAGATTGGTGACGACCTCAGACCGACGTTCAAGTTGTTCAGTGCTGTCAGCGACGACCAACGACATGTTCCCATATCGCGGCCGGGCCGCAGCGAGTACTTTTTGTAGAATACCTCTTTCGCATTCTTGCTTTGGCATATTTTCTGAGAATTACGGGAGATACCTGACCCGCATCGACGCTGGCGTCCTAGTATGCTTGATGGTTCTGTCTTATGTTGCCAGTGTGGGCAGTGATGATGATTTATATAATGATCTTAGACTCCACTAACGATACTTTCGTCTTTGTGCCGAAGAGGGCAGCATGAGTACTCGCTTTATCGGCTTGTATGCTTCCACTATGATACCTTGCATGCGTGCAATAGACTCTATCCGTGCTTTTCATTCCTACCTGCTGGTTTGCAGTGGAGATCTGGGATCACCTGCTTCATGTGAAGTATTCTTTCCACGTAGCGGGCTTGGCACGTGTTACACTGCTTTGGATAGCTTCAATGGCTGAATATATTCTTGTTCCATGTCGTTATGCTGGTTCTCCTGATCTCATTGTTCATTGGCCGGCACTTGACCGAGGCATCATCTGCCGATGGTCCGGGATGCGTCCCGAACTTACGGGATGCGTTCCGGCCCCGGATCCGAGTATGCCATAAAGAAGCAGACCACGGCCACAAAATCCGGGGAAAGGGTCCTTCTTTAATTCAATCACTCTTCCCCCACTTCTTCCATACTCAGCTCGTTCCAATGTCCGAGAAAGTCGATGTCCTCATCTGCGGGAGCGGATCCGCAGGCCTCTGCGCAGCGACATGGCTCGCGCGGTATGGCATCCGTTGTAAGGTGCTGGAGCGCCGCGACGGGCCCATGACGATGGGCCAAGCAGATGGTGTGCAGTGCCGGACCGTTGAAATCTTTGAGAGCTTTGGTATCGGTGAGGAGCTGCTGCGTGAAGCGTACCATGTGCTGGAGGTGGTGTTTTGGGCCGATGATGGATCTGGTTCGATCAAGCGCACTGGTCGGACGGCGGATACGCAGCCGGGTCTGTCGCATCAGCCGCATGTTATTCTTAACCAGGCTCGGATCAATGGGCTGCTGATTGAGAAGATGCGGGAGTGGAATAAACAGGAGATTGACTACGGGTACACTGTGACCGGTGTCGAGGTGGATAGCCAGCTGGCCGCCGATCCGCAGGCATATCCTGTCAAGGTGACTGCTGAGAAGAATGGGAAGACTGAGACGTTTGAGGCTAAATATGCGCTTGTATGTCATTCTCAGTTACTTTTCATTTCTTCCTACAGGGCGATCTCTGATGTCTCTAGGCTTGCGACGGTGCTCACAGTACCGTTCGGAAATCACTCGGCTACAACATGATTGGAGACAGCACCGATGCCGTCTGGGGTGTCATGGATATGATTCCTCGCACCGACTTCCCCGACATTCGCAAGAAGACCACCATCCGCTCAAAAGCAGGAAACCTGATGATCATTCCCCGGGAAGGTGGCAGTCTGGCTCGCTTCTACATCGAGCTGCCGGCCGGCACAAAGGCCAAGGAAGTCAAGCTTGAGCATCTCCAACAGACAGCCAAGAACATCCTCAGCCAGTACACGATCGAGTTTGCCGAAACTATCTGGTGGTCTGCGTATTCCATTGGCCAACGCCATGCAGATTTCTTTCACAAGGATTACCGCGTCTTCCTTGCCGGTGATTCTTGTCATACCCACTCCCCCAAGGCTGGTCAGGGCATGAACGTCAGCTTGCAGGATGGATACAACATGGGCTGGAAGCTAGCCACTGTCCTGAAAGGACTGGCGTCGCCTTCCCTGTTGGAGACATATGTCCTAGAACGCCAGAAGGTGGCGATCGATTTGATCAACTTCGACCGTTATTTCTCCAAGCTCTTCTCCTCGGGAGGCCAGACTTCTCCCGCTGAGTTTCAGGAGGGGTTTATCAAGTCCGGTAAGTATACCGCCGGAATGACGGCGCGCTATGACAAGTCACCGATCACTTCCGATGTGGACGAATCGGACAAGCTTTCGACAAACGTTGTTGTTGGCATGAGACTGCCCAGTGCTCAAGTCGTGCGCTTCAGCGACTCGAAGCCCATGCAATTAGCTCAGTCGCTCAATTCAGATGGCCGTTGGCGAGTGATGGTCTTCATTGGAGATATCAGTTTGGCCGAGACTAGGACAAAGTTGAAAGCTGTAAGTGACGCTCGTCATAGTGCTGCCTAGAATGAGTCTTGCTGACATCATAGTAGATTGGTGACTATCTCGGCTCAACAGAGGGCCCTATCCAGACATTCCGCCCCAAGGGAGAAGATATCGATAGTCTCATTGAGCCCATTCTGGTCGGTCATGGCAAGCGTCATGCCGTGGAACTAGAACAGATCCCCGAGTGCTTCTACCCTGTGACTGGAAAGCATCAAATTAAAGGCGGGCCTTAGAAAGTTCATAAGGAAACTCCATAGTGAGATGTGCTAACGATCATCAGACCTTCACAAAATCTACTACGACGACGAAAGCTATAACAAGGGTCACGGACACTGCTATGAGCACCTCGGCGTTAGACCCGAGAAGGGCGCAATTGTGATTGTCCGTCCAGATCAATGTGAGGGATCCTAATCATATCATCAATCTGAGTAGCCAATACTAATTCTTGCCCAGATGTATCTGCCGTGACGAGTCTGGATGACTATACGCAGATTGGAAAATTCTTTGCGGGGTTCCTGATACCCCAGCTGCCTGGGAGCAAATTGTGATTTGGCTTCATTATAGTAGTCATATGCCAGCGATATTTTTTCGACTTGTATATAGTTTTTATGAGCCTGTATATATCAATGATGGCGAGAAATATGCACTTGCTTGGTATTAAGAGTTGATTCATCAAGATGTGGGGTATTGGACGATAGACTTAGCGGAGCTTGACCACCCCGCTTATCATTGAAGGATGGTTTGTAGAGCTGCATTTGTTCACTACTTGGATCATCTGAAGGCTCGAAAACTACTCCGTAGTCCGTAGATAATGTGAATACGGCTGCCTATACCATCGGAAAGATCGATCGGGTTAGTTTTCGTATACCATGAGTCATCCAATCTTCAGCTGAACGAACAAAAAGGCCACGGACTTACCATTCAAAAGTTCGAGTTCAATACCTCGTCTCCAACAACATACAAGTCATCGCAACGTTGGCTCACATCGGAGACCGACATGGCAAATTTTCCTGATTTCATTGTCCCCCCTCATCTCGCTGAATACAATGTCCCTCTGAATGAGTTTGCTGCGTCCAAACCACATCTGACAGACTTTGTTGTCGGGGGACTGGTATATTCACAATCCGTCGAGAAAGATGATGGCGCCACCCAATCGACAAGCGAAAAGCCCCGTAACCGCGTTCTGCTCCTCCAACGCGCGGCCACCGACTCCTATCCCGGTTATTGGGAAGGACCAGGAGGGATGTGCGAGCGCACCGATGCCACGCTGCTAGCCGGTGTAGCACGCGAAGTCTTCGAGGAGAGCGGACTCCACGTTTCGAAATTTATTGATTCGATTGCGGTTGACGAGTGGTCGCGAATTTTGCGGAATGAATTGCACCGTGTAGCCAAGTTCACATTTCTGGTTGAGGTGCATGAGGCGAGTGGGAAGGCGGGTGTGCCATCAACGGACGTGGTGGTGGGAGCTGCGCCGGAGCGCTGGGAGGATGGGGTGAAGCTGGAGCAGACTGAGCACCAGGCGTTTGAGTGGGCGACGGAGGAGGAGGTGCGTGAGAGTCTAGAGTCAAAGGGCAAGTATAAGTTTTTGAAAGACCAGGGTTGGAATTTGTTGAAGGGGTTTGAGTTGCTGAAGAGAACTACATCGGCTGAGGGGGGAAGTCCAGGATGATACTGTGAACCCGAGAACTGCCTGAGGCTCGCAATTTGCAAGGAAATGTTTTGCATATGGTCTTATCATTCAGTCATGTATATATTGCAGCATTTTTCTCAGACTGGGACATGCGTTCTGATACACAGCCTTTGAGATGACCAAAAGAGAAGATGAAGAAACCCGCAGTGTGCCTTCAACCAACCGATCAACCAACCTAGACTATATTGTCTTCCACCGGCAAAGCTCCCTCAGCTTGCATTTTTAGGGCAACCTCATCGACTCGCTTCCATACGCGCAGTAGGTTACCTCCTGCCACCTTGGCAGCATCCTCATCACTGACACCCCGTCGTAGAAGCTCTGCGATTAAGTCGGGGAATTTGGACACATCCTCTAGACCTCGAGGAACAGTCATGATACCGTCAAAGTCGCTACCTAAACCAACATGGTCGAAGCCTATCAGACCTCCAATGTGCATAATGTGATCCGCAACCTTGCCAAGAGTCGCATGCTCCAGATCAGTCTTTGGTAGCTCATCTGGATTATCCGACGCCGTACACGAGATGAAATCGGGCGAGAAGTTGACCATAACCAGCGAGTCTTTTGCCTTGACGAGCTCCAACACGTCATCGGGAACGTTGCGAGGATGGGGGCAGATCGCGTACGTAGAGCTGTGACTATATATTACTGGCGCACGACTGCCGGACCAATTGTCCTTACCGGCACCAAGGACGTCTCGCATAGTGTCCACACTAACGTGAGCCAGATCGACCATCATCCCCATCCGGTTCATCTCATAGACAAGATCCTTTCCAGCTTCACTGATCCCGTGCCAGTACGGAACAGCCTTGTTGATACTGCCATCGGGCTGTTCGGTCAAAGCGGCATCCGCGTAACGATTGTGGCAGTTGTGCGTCAGTGTGGCGTACGACACCCCAAGGTTATAGAAATTTCGTAACAGAGCCAAGGAGTTACCGATAGAGTGGAGGCCCTCAATTCCATAAGGAGAAATGATCTTGCCATCAAGGAAAGCTTGACGAGCGGTTGTTCCGTTCGGAGGTGAGGAAAATGTGTCAGGGTAGGCCTTTGCTAGGCGTGACATGACGTCGACTTGTTCCAATGTTTGACGGACGCCTGTTCATCAGTTATTAGCAATAAGCTCGAAATTCAAGTACTTGATATTCCTACTCGTTGTATACGTTGCATCGGAGAAATCCTCCCAATTCTTAGGACACCCGACAAACACACTCCAAAAGGTACCGCCGACTTTGCCCTTAAAAAGTCGCGGCAGATCAACATGACCTTTGAGATTGCCTTGAGTAAAAGGAACAGTGAAGTTATCGGCATAAATCTTGTTGTCAAAAAAAGCCCGAATGAAGATAGGAAGGTCATCGTGGCCATCTGTATAGCCATCAGTATACTCGCGTGACTAAGTTAGAAAGATGTTGTACCAATCAATGGAGTTTCTGACAGAATCTTGTCGACCCTTTGCTCAATGCTAAGAGGAGCGCTCGATTGGGGAGACGCCGTCGTGAGAACAACAAGGCATGCCAGTAGGAGGGTCACAGCTAAACGTCCGAGATAACGAGCAAAGGACGGTTTCTCGGAAGTTTGAGCTTGTTTCTCTACGTCATTTGAGTATCTCTCAACATATTGCTTCTTCTCAACAGACATCTTGCTAGACATCTGATGGTAAATCATAGAGGTCAATGAATATCAAGAAGTATCGTGTTGAGAGAACGGTCACACTCACAGCACCAAATGCGAGGCTGGGCTGACAAATACAATGGACAGCACAGACAGTTGACGATTTCTATCTTCATGCAATCATGCCTTGATTTTTCCTATCTTCCATGTACACTAGAGGATTTAAAACGCTCTCGAAGATGATTGATGAGGTTATCAGTGTTCGTGCAATTCAGGTCGATAAATGCCTTATCTCAGGTCTGAGATTGACTGCCCACAAGGGACGGAGACCTTGCTTGGCTCATCATGCAGCGAACATGTACCTGATTCCGGTGGCTTTTGTTCTTCGGAGAATGAAAATAGTAAGAACATATTTAATTATTGTTTATTATTTATAATTATAGAGATTTCGAAGTACGAATTGAATTGTTCTTCGTATGCTTATTCTTGCCTGAGGTATCTACCAGCAAGCACAAAATGCGGGAGCCAATCAGAGTCGATCTGAAGGGAAAATTCCATCTTCATCGAGTGCCTGACAGCATGGTAATCTTCATTGATCAACAAGCTCTTTATTGAGTCGAAATATCCAGGTAAATCATCATTTGCGCAATTATTATCTACGCGCTCGCTTCTTTCATCTCCGAATGTAGCTGCTTACAAACAGAGAGACCTATTTGTGCCCCTCTTGGCTTTTCCCCACTTGGTCCGATCGCCCTCCGTCAATCAATTTTATCCCGAGTCCTCAAATTTCTCTCTGCGAATGCGACCAAATATTCGCGCGGCAGCATAAAAAAGAGAAGGGTTTGCACTGCTGCATCGATTCTTTGGAATCATCATGGCGGAGCACTCCACGACTGAAGGTTTGACAAAGCGAGATCCTTCCACCTGTATCATGCTGACCGATAGTTCATTACTAGGTATTTTGGCCTTCTGGCATTCCTACCGTCTACTGTTCCTAGTTGCTCTCTCGACCGTCTTCGTGGGTCTACGATTCTACCGCAAACTTCAGTCCAGAACGAAAACCACAGCCTCGTCTTCAGTTCCGCCATCGCCTCGAAGCCAATCCCCCGAAAAGACAGAAAAAGGCATCCCTCTCGAGAGCAGCAACCCAGCAACGACACAGAAGGCTGAACGGCAGCTTCCCGCGGCCAACGGCACAGCAAAACTAACTTCAGGTCCGAAGAGAGTCACCGGTAGAAAACCATCGAAAGTTGCTGGACGGCGAGGGCAAACAGAGGATGCGGAGCCCCTCTCCTTTATCCAACCCATCATCTTTTTCGCTTCTTTGACTGGCAACACTGAAAGATATGCCAAAATACTGTTGGACGAATTGCGCGCTGGGGCGCAAAAGCGGGCCGACTTGCAGGACCGCGAGCGTGGCCTTCTACCCCCTCAGATCCACGACCTCTCCTATATCGATCTCGACGACTACTTCACCTCTGCACCGAAGCCTCCGCCAAATTCACCCGGTACACGCTACGTATACTGCTTGTTGATCCCTACCTACAACATCGACAGTATCCTGAATACGTTTCTTGACCATCTCAACGAGACTCATAATGACTTCCGCATCGACACAGGCTCTCTGTCAAGCCTCGCCGGTTACTCTGTCTTCGGATTTGGTGATAAGGAAGGCTGGCCTACCGAAGAAGAAGGCTTCTGTTCTCAAGCCAAAGAGCTGGATAAATGGATGGCCAAACTCACGGGGCGGAAACGAGCATATCCTTTGGGACTGGGTGATGTTAAAAGTGATGCCGAATCCTCGTTGAAAGAGTGGTCTCAGGGATTGCAAGACATCCTCTTTGACATTCTCGAGAATGGTGGACTAGGAGAAGGTGTACCTGGCAGTGGTGATCCCCTTGAGAGTGACGAGGAATTGGACGATGAAGACGTAGGCAAGAGCAAAGCTCAAAACGTCATGGATTTGGAGGACATCAAGTTTGGAGGTGACCAGACTGCAGCCGGGTCGCCGATTCCCGTTGACTTCACCACCATAGGAAAATCTGCCCCTGGCCAATCAACCGAGAAGGAGATGGTTCCCAAGACATCGCCCACCTACGCTGCTCTGACGAAACAAGGCTATACGATCGTCGGGTCTCACTCCGGTGTCAAGATCTGCCGTTGGACTAAATCTGCGCTACGTGGTCGAGGTTCGTGTTACAAGTTTTCCTTCTACGGTATCCGATCGCATCTTTGCATGGAGGCAACACCATCGCTCTCTTGCAGCAATAAGTGTATCTTCTGCTGGCGCCACGGTACAAACCCAGTCGGAACTACTTGGCGTTGGAAAGTGGATTCTCCGGAATTGATCTTCGAGGGAGTCAAGGAGGGTCATTACAAGAAGATCAAGATGATGCGCGGCGTTCCTGGTGTGCGAGCTGAGAGATTTGCAGAGGCCATGCGCATCCGACACTGTGCCTTGAGTTTGGTTGGCGAACCCATTTTCTATCCTCACATCAATGAGTTCCTGGACATGCTGCACGGCGAACACATCTCCAGCTTCCTGGTATGCAATGCTCAACATCCTGATCAGCTCGAAGCTCTGCGTCGCGTAACCCAACTCTACGTGTCCATCGATGCAAGCAACCGTGAGAGTCTGCGTAAGATTGATCGTCCTCTCCATCGGGACTTCTGGGAGCGCTTCCAACGTTGCTTGGATATCCTACGGGAGAAGCGCCATGTCCAGCGCACTGTTTTCCGTCTCACCTTGGTCAAGGGATTCAACATTGATGATGAGGTCATTGGCTATGCAAATCTGGTGGAAAAGGCGCTTCCATGTTTCGTCGAAATAAAAGGTGTGACGTACTGTGGCACAAGCACCAGTGCTGGAGCTGGCTTGACAATGCAGAACGTACCCTTCTACGAAGAAGTCGCCCAGTTCGTCACTGCTCTCAACGCCGAGCTGCAGCGCCGTGGGCTGAAATATGGCATCGCCGCGGAGCATGCACACAGTTGCTGTGTGCTCATTGCCTCGGAAAGGTTTCACGTCAATGGCAAGTGGCATACTCGCATTGATTATGATCGATTCTTCGAGCTTTTGGAGAAGGAGAAGGCCGATGGCACGTCATTTACTCCCGAGGACTACATGAGGGAAACCGAGGACTGGGCACTCTGGGGTAATGGTGGCTTTGATCCGAACGACGAGCGTGTATACAAGAAGGGCAAGAAGAAACATTTGCAGATCACGGCGGAGCCTTGAGGAGAGATGGTCAATAATTCTGCGCCAAGAACTACTTACATACTGAGGCCTTCTGACGGCAAATCTTCTTGAAAGACAAGGTTGCCACCGTGCTACTCCGTTCACAGGAAAGTTCCAGAAGGACGGTAAGCATCCCGCAAAGGCGTTAGGCTCATCTGTCCGATTTCATCCGCCCTGGGGCTAGTACAACAACGATAGAGGCCATCTTCAAGTCGCGAGGGTCCTGAACTAGCGGTCGCTAGTCTGGTGGAATCCTCGAACTTAAAGAGCCAACCGTCTCCCTGCATCCTTCTATCTCTCGCTCTCCTTCCTATATTTCCAATTTTCTCCCGTGCCGCAAAGAGACAGATCTCATTCCTCACGGACACCTCAGGAGCGCCTCAGGAGCAACTCAACAGCACAAACTGAATTCAAACCCCAATAGAAAGCAATGGTTGAACTATCTTCATCAGACTCCCCATGAAGGAGGTTGGGGTCTGTGTGACTTATAGTGTATGGGATCGGGGCAGTCTCTTGTCAAGGGAGAGGGGTGGCATTGCATCTACAACTGATGAAAGGGGGACATAGTGGAGGAGCTGTAGAGTTAGATGCTCCCATAACAGATGTAGTACCTGGCTTGTTAGCCTAGAATCAATGAGTCACAGTTATCAGGGAATTCTATGTCTACGGAGCCAAACAAAGCTTCTATCACAATGAAAGGTTTTATGAGATTCAACCTCTAATCTTCTGAGGAGGGAGAACTGTCTGATTCAAGGCATGTATATTGATACGGATGAACCCGCCAGCTTAGCAACTTAAGCCCAGGTTCCTTGGGTATATTCTCAAGTGGTAATCACAGTCAAGAGGTATGTACTTAGCCCACTTGATAGATGTATCTTGTAATAGACTAACCTGTAGAAAACTACTGCTTCTTCGCATACTTCACATGAAGAGATAATGCCAATCATGGCTCTGCTGCCTTAGATCGTATCGAGATTTCTACAATTCAAAATTCACTGAAAATATTCTTACAAGCTGGAGAGGACATAGTCTTCCACAGTCATCCCGTCTAGTATTTGTGCACCTGCATCGGTGCTAAACTTCCTTTATATATAAATTTTCTCATTCGCATAATTGGCATTCTTCAGTTAGGTCGTGCAATGTGCTTTTGTGTCAACCAGTCAGCTAATCTGTTGCATGTTCTTCAAAAAAAAAAAAAAAAATCTAAGATGCTCGAGGCGGGTTCTTTGAAGGGCAAGGTGCCACGATGTATATCGGAAATTCAACTTCCAAAACTCTAGTCAGGGCCTATACTCGGGGAAGGTTCACGGCTCAGTCCTGATTGAAAAAGAACAAAAGGGGGAAAAAACAGGGTTCGCCTTACATTTGCCAAACCAAACCGGAAGCCGAGCCGTATCTGGAGCTTGTAACTGCGGCTGATATTGCAGGTTTCAAATGTCGGTGTCAGCGAGGGCGGCAGCCGATGATGTCTCCACAAGTCGTCATCAAGGCTCACTGTCGATCCTGCTGGTGTGCCGCCGGCATAGGCTCGTTTGCGCACGTTGCTCACTGTCTGCAGGACGCGGCGATGTGTGCTGGTTTCGACGAGTCCCTGTGCTCGTACCTGGGTTGTTTCGATGAGCATCGACTGGAAGTCGTTCAAGATGAGGTCGCAGTCGGACCCGTTGATTCTCGTCATGTATATCGTCAGAGGGATGGGTTCGCCGAGGAGGAGACAAGCTCCGTCCGAGAGTCGGACATCAATCCGATAACTTGTCGGTATGGGTTTCTCTGGATTTCCCGGGTTGAGAATGACTGAACGCCTTTCTATGAGGGCATGTGAGGGAGGGTTAAAGTTGGTCACCGGATAGAAAATTATATCTCGAGACTAATGACACGATTTAGAACGTTAGCTGCGACTTTGAGCTTTCTCTTTAGCTTATAAAAGTAACGTGGCACGGGGGATGCTCAACTGTGATCACCGAGCCCCTGCCTGTCGCACCGGTTCTGATGATTGCATCTAGCGAGTAGGTGATCTCCCCAGCGGTTGCTCGACCCCGAATAGTGGAAGGTGGAAGTCTCCGAAGTAAATGGACAGTTTGGCGATGCTTTTTCGGTAGGGTTCCACAACTGCCTCGAGAGCGATTTCCGTCCATGCTGGTTCTATAGCATTCCGAGACTTGAGGAAACTGGAAATTTGCATAGAGTTGTGAGTGGCAGAGCTTCAAATTGTAGGCAGGGACACTGCCTACCGAGATGGAGAATGAAAAGGCATATGTTCCGTGACCGAGAGTGAAGTATGAAGCCATGTCGAGATTTCCTGGAGAAGGAGGAGGAGGAAAGACTTGCTGCGTCTTCTGAAACAACTGAGAGGAATTAGCACAAGCCGCACCCATTCCATAGCCAGCATGAAGTCCGGAAACCTGCCTGGTGTGATTCCGTGCGCTTCCCCGAGTCCAGTCTGGACAATGCTGAGCCGGAGAGGGTAACCTGTATCACTGATACATTGACTGATGATTTGTTGTGAAGAATGAGGCGGCCAGAGACTGTGTCCTGGTTTGTATAGGTTGCCTCCCTCTTATCCAGTTGTACTTGGACGTCCATTCGAGAAGACAAAGACAAGCAGTGTTCTATGCAGGACAACATGAAGGATGAAAGTGACACCACGATAGGCTTATGTGACAGCGGACGATTCTAAATTGTTCAAACGATCAACTTCTACCAGACCAGACAAGAGAAGAATATATTTCTAAGTAAGCAGCGGATTTCCAAAGAAAGATAAAAGCATCATGAGCTGGAATCTTTCTTGTTCAATTTAACTGGATGGATGTAACAAAGTGAACTGCCCTGCCCTCATCTGGAGGTCCTCTTGTGCGTTTCAGCTTCAGCTCACCTGAAAGACCATACCATGGTGAACCAGTTTCCTATCTAGACTATGATGAAGCCTCAGATGAGCCGCGGCATCCCCACTTAACACTCGAAAAGGCATGGATGACTCGAGAGTACTGAATGCCAAGTGCCCGAAAGCCGACTATATTTATCCTTCACAACGACTGGTTCGGCATAAGACTGGAGTCGCAAGTTACAAAATTTGAATACACCAATGAACGGTGTCTGTCTACAGACTACTATGGACTTAAATGACTAGGTACACTGTCAACGGTCTCTCCATCTATAATATCTGACTAGTCATTTTTGTGTTTAAGCTAAACAAGATTATATTAATCCTTTCAGATTTGACTATGCAACATGATCTGGGATGCTGCTCTGGACTTAAGCTGCTCACTACAGAGCTAGCTCATATGCGAGATATCTCGACACTGAGCCATGTCATCCCACTATACACAGTCCCAGGTCTTTCTTGTCTTGTCTGTTGTGTCTCTTCAAAACCCCGATGAAGATGCTCATGGTGAAGAGGTCGTAGGTCGTCATGTAGTAGTAGTAGATAAGGTAGAATCAGATCAAGGGGGTTCCATTCAATATTGACAATCAGATGGATTTTGTCGAAGATTATCTCAGTTTCATTTTTACTTCTACAAAATCCCCGTCGATTGTTTGAAATACAACATTCGACAACACTTTCATGATGGAAGGTTAGGCTCCGAAGATGCCACCATAAAACACCACATCTGTCAGTGTCAAGGATATTTCAACTGTCTGATCTCAGACAAGCTGCCTAGCGCTCGCTTCGCTCACTGCAGCTTCGGCTACGCCGAAGCACACTTCCAAGTTCGCTCCGCTCACTTCTAGCGCAGGGTTCGGACCTACGGCCCTCACTATCTTACTAAGTATCTTATGGTCTTATCTAGTAGGAAACATAATTTTTTTATAGCCCTAATTAAGAGCTGCGGCCCTGGTTCAGGGGTTTTAGAATGTAGGTGAGGGTGGCCCTAATAATAGGGGGGAGTAGTAAAAATGCCCGTAGAGGCCAGAGAAACTAATTTAGAAGGACTATAAAGTGAAATCTCTTCCTATAGGCCTGTAAGAGGAGCATTAGCATATAGAATAGTAATATAATTAGGGTAAGAAGAGCATACAGAGCAGGAATTTAGGTGTGTAAGAGGAGAGAGAAATTTTAATAGGTGTACAGAGTAATAGGAGGGTTAAAATAGGTAAGGGGAGGCGCTAACCCTGAAGAGGCAATTGTGAAGTTGAAAATGTCGATTATTAAGCAATTATTCAGCATGCTCCACCGTTATTTCTTTAGTAGATCACCAGCATAAACTTTTTCTTAACTCATCCTGAGCTGAATTGCATAGCCACAGGAGTGGAGACTGTGGGGACAGACTCTCTCTCGTGCTGATTTGACCTCGCCCTCTTGCCAGTTGCCATGTTTCATTCACATCCAAGAGATTTAATAATATAGATCCTTGGCATACTCAAGTGATCTTTCTATAGAAGCACATCCATCCATAAAAAGGATGTGAGTTATTCGAGGTTTGTATGACCATGAATCGATAGACTCGAACTGAACGGGGACTTTCAGGTCAAAGGGAAAAAAAAAGTATAAGAACAATGGAGGGTTCTTCAGGCAAAGGGCAGCTGCTGTCCAAGCACTATCCGACTGTAGGTTCTGCTTGATCATTATGGGGCCTTTCTCCTTCTAATGTTTCTTGAAGTGTGATGCATGTCATTCTCGAAAGGTATGGGATATGCCCAAACAATCCATATTCGTTAATTTCAGCGATGAACATCCACCCAGGAACAAATTATTCCCTGCATCATCCTAGCCTATCTCTCTGACCATTGTTATAGGTGCGATGTGACAGGAATGATCCTTGTGGGAACTGCCAGGACCAAAGAACTGCGTGTACTCGCCAACGGAGCATGAGACGATTACCAAAAAGAATCTCGCTCCACGCAGAAATGACAAGCGGTGCGCTTCAGTCGAGCCGGACTTCGCCCAGTCCCCTCCTACCTGACGCTCGTGGTGGTTCTATTTTTGAGATAGTTCGGCGAAACGACAAGTCTGCAACAGATAGCATCCTTTCCGAGATGGACGACCACAAGATGTCGTTCAAGACGACAGAACGAGGAAGTTACCAAGATCCAGACAGGGAGCAAGAGCTCCATACATGGATCTTGTTAGTTCCGCTGACAGATGCCCAGTTGACGAGACAGCGCCCACTAGACCGTATACAGGGTCTTACCTGGAACAGAATCCAAGTTCTCGAGTCAGCGCTCTATGTCGCAAGCCAACTTTCGCAAAGTATGGGGGGATTCAAGAGCCCGCTAGACGTCGAAGGATCTGGCGAGGAACAGCCAGAAATACCGTCCGTGGAGTTTCTGACTTGGATGTTGAATGGTAAAGGGTTTATAACCACCTCTGATGGACTATTTTATATCATGGGATACTGACTCAACCTCATAGACCTCGGGGGCGATAGATTCGGATCATTTGTAAATGATTACTTCAAACACGTGTCTCGATCAACACTGAAGCATATGGGACTGTCACTTCTTTGCAAGACCGCATCTCCCCATGACACTGTCCTTTACACGGTCTGCGTCAATTCCGTGGCCTACAAGTTCATCAATTGTCTGTTGATGGATGAGGACCAAGACGGGCTTTCCCAGATGCTACGGGAAAGCGCTTTGAAGTACAAGCGAACGGCCCAGGCTGCGTTGAGGAGAATCCCCCTCTTGACTTCGCCTTCACTTGCTCTTTTACAGGGCACACTTTGTGGTGTAAGTCACAAAATATATCCGTCACTCCTGTCGCCATCTGACAAGGGAGCAGATTTTCCTATGCCAGGGGTCAGGCGAGACTCAGCTGTGCTGTGATTTGACACGTATTGCTTGTAGGGTTTGCGTCGATCTCGGCCTCCATGCAGCCGCCATTAATTGGCAGGGTGTAACTGAAGAAGAGTACTACTGCGCCATGTGGTGCTATATGCTTGACAGAAACTATGCCTGGAAGCTTGGAAGATCCTGCTGTTTCCTCGACGTTGAACCTGGCATCATAATGGATCATCCATTCATTCATCATACTCCACTCTCTGAGCTTTTATCCATTTACATGGAGTTTGCGCATGTACAGAGTGTGCTGATTCCCTTCCTCAAGGATGAATCTTCATCGGAAAGAGAAACTGCAGGCCGGTCATTTAATCATGCACGAACCCAGTTAATTCTGAAAATGGATGCAATTCGGCGCAAGATAGATCAGGTAGTCGTACAGTGCATTTATCTTTGGTATTGACCGAAAGCTAACACGAACAGATCTCGCCTCCCTCGCCTCGGTGGAAAGGCCTGGATGTCCGCTGCGAAATCGCGACGCTCGATTTCGGTTATCACTCCATCATGACCGCCATTCTCCACTTAACCCAAGTGAGCTCGGATCACGTTCGTGGTACTAGAGAGCTTTACCTTCAGTCTGCTCGCCAGGAGCTCTCAGCATTGGTATGTCTGTGTCTACCAAGCGATCAGCAAAGAACTGCCGCCTTTCTGCACTGGTCAGTCTGCTCCCACATCCCAACCCCCCGCCCCTTTGGCGTGCTTAACAAATCCCAGGACTCTTCTTTATTATCCTCTGACCGCCTGCTTTGCCCTATTCTGCAACGCCGTTGCGACATCCCATCTAGGCGACTTTCACTTATTGAAGACGGTCGCGAACTGCTTGATACCAAGCGGGACAGTCAGTCAACCGATCGCCACATTACAGCAGCTGTTCCATGAGTTCGTCTTACTCTCCCAGTCCTTCATCAGTGAATCAGGCTCAATGGCGCCTGTAGACGACGGAGTGCTCGAAAAGCGATCCACCCTCCCCCAAGGGCCCGCTCCCATTTGCAGCCCAATGTTCCCGTACGGGATGGACTCTGCACCTGGACCCTGTCAGGCGATGTCATCAGGTGTAGACGACTATTTCTTCGAGCCGTCATTCTCTGTGCTTGATCAAATGCTGTCTCGAGGCGAGCTGGGATTCCTCAGTGAATCACATTCTGATGGACACTTCGCTAGTGAGATGTATATCTAAAAGGAAAGTCCATGATTATCGCCAAATGCATCCGTCACTTATACAGTAGCGATCCAACAAGTGACTACATGTAATATACACCTTGAGATAGGGATCTTTGAAGAGCAAGGCCAAGGATTCCAGGGCTGAATGACGCAGGGGTTATGTGACTCAACTGCTGATCTGTTAGGTTTCCTACTCTCGATCTTCCTCGTTCTTTTTTCTTCAAGGAGCCGGGAACCTTATGGAGGTTAGGCTTTGCGTCCCTGTCAATGAGATCAACAACCATATTGCCATCTGAAATTGCTTAGTATCTTCGTGGCAACCGCCATGTTACTCTTCCAGCTTTCGAACCCTGATTATCTCATCAGGATACTCATCTATGCTCTATATAGATTTTTGATATGATAGATCCCAGTACATTTAGGGTTAAATAAGTCTACTATAACCTAATGCTACACTTCTATAACCCTGTGGACTTATCGGACGCCCAAGGCTACCACCATAGGACGATATCCCGCCGGGGGTTATTAACCAACAGATTTTCTTACCCCTGTGTTTTTCTTCTTTTCTGGTCACTTCCAGGGTATTCGAGAGCTCCTTTCGGATAGTTTTCACCAGGTGAGTCATGTTAGGTGACCAATCCTTGTCTTGATAACTGCCCCGCCATGTCAGCCTCGCCTGCTCGCGCTGGATTAGTTAAAAACCGAGTCTTCTCTGGAACATCATCGAGATTAAATTGGTGATTCTCTTTGCTTCCTCATACTATCAAAGCTTATACCCACTGTGCTACATTCCAAGACCATGTCCGCCTCCAACATCGTGACCGGTAGTTGTCTCTGCCAGAAAATTCGCTACAAAGTGACCGGACCTCCCAAAACAACCATCATCTGCCACTGTGACAGTTGTCGCAAAAGCACGGGCTCTGCTTTCATGGCGAACAGCTTCTGCCTGAAAGATGTACGTGCCGTGCACTCCACTTCAGGAATAACCAGCTGATATATCTATAGCAACTACAACTCCTTACCGGGGAAGATGTTCTGAGAGTTTACAAAGACAAGGACACGGCGTCGGGTAATACGCTGTTGAGGTCATTTTGCTCCAACTGTGGTTCGCCCTTGTTTATCAGCAGCAAGTCCCTAGAGTATAATGCGGTGACCGTCACCTCAGGCACCATGAATCTAGGACCTTCGAAGAGCGAGTGGGAGCCCAAGATGGAAGTCTTCTGTATGAGGCGGAGAGAGTGGCTTGCACCTATGGAGGGGACAGAGAAGCGCGACACCATGTAATTTCTCTTTTACTAAGCATTCGCTGATAAAGGATCTTGCAACTGAAACACTGTCTTTCTTTTCCGGAAGAGGAAACCGTTAAGTGGGTGGTTTATTCCTTTCACACCTTCTTCTATGATAGACTAGCTTTCCTTTACTGCCATCAAGGGATCTTGGAGGTCTGATGTCGTCTCGGCTATTATTTGCTTGTACTCTTCGAGAACACTTACTGTAATAGCAGCCCAGTAACAATCCTTGCAGTTAGCAGATATACCTACAATGTCGTACCCCGAGAGCGATACTGATACTTGCTCCGTCGGTAGATATAGTTGTTTCAAGATTAGAGTTGTCACCTCCCATATACTGCAGCCTAGTCCAGTCGCGGAAGCTTGTGCGTTGGGCATTGAACGAGGAGCACACTTTCAATGCCGTCTTTGAATCTCCTTGCAAGTTTTGCCAGATATGATAGTTCAAGGAACGGGCGTTAGGGCACGGTCCCAGTAGTTTTGCATTCCTGATGGGATGGTTAAGATCAGTTAAAGGCAAATCGGCTAGACCTAAATTGTTGAAGGTTATTCTCCAGACTTGCATACGACAACATTATTTGGGGTAAGGCTCTACTATACGAATGCTTGGTATATCTTGAAGACGACGCACTGAGCTTACATCCCCTGACAGGGGTAAATCTAATCTTTTTGGTAAGAAACTTGAAGGGAGGAAAGGCAGATCTGGTATATTTTATACACGAAGGTGATTACTTCATCCACTCTGTATTTGAATGTAGAGCTCACATGTATAATCAACATACTCCCTAGATCTGGGTATCACTGCAGAACAGAAGTCAGACTAGGACCCTGGTAGATACTGCAAAGTAATCCATGCTTTTAGTAGAGAATATTAGCTTTCAGCCTCAGTATAGGTCGAGTGCGAACAAATTGGTCGTAACCTGATGCTTGATTCGACCCTCTCGATCCATTCTTCTCGGCAGTGTACACCACTTTTGATGCAACTAAGACCTGGCGTTTTCCAGACCCTCACAGCTACTTGTCATAAGTAATATCATTGGACAGCATTGTTGTATATCTATCTCCGAGGGGCTATGGCGTTCGAATCATGTCCTGGCAGGCCGCCATGTGGCATGAGCCCTAGACGGTACCTATTGGTTTGATTCCACTCTCCATGAAGTAAGCCTTTCTGATTGAATAATATCTCCCAGTCAAGCTGAAACATGCAAAGTAAGCTTTGTGGCCTCGTTTACTTCTGGCTGGCTTATCAGAAACTCGGTTGCCTGAGAGATGGGCAGCAGACGTCCCTGAACTATCAGCCTTTTATTATCCCTAGTCTCTAAGCACAGTCCGTGAGAAATGAGATCATTGTCGCTAAAAGGGGCTTGAAAAGTGAGTGGCCTGGATAATCACGAGGCAGTAGGCAGTCATTCGTGACACTGTGGCTCACGCCAGAGAAGCCCACTATTTGTTTTCTGGGCGCCACACACTGTGCTCACGAGATATCGGCTCTCTCTGCTTTTTCCAGTAATTCAGCCCTGAGCGCCATGTCTTTTCTTTTTTCCTGTCCGCCTCGTCATCGGCTGGAGTTGAAATGGAAATGGCGTGGGTTTGGACGCATTTAAATGACCACCTAGCCAGCAGTAAATAGTTGGCATTTTACTGGGTCAACAGCTGCATAACCGGATTGATCGATTATCAACCCAACTATGATTTTAACGGAAATATCTCCTGGCCACGCTCGCCTCGTTCTGCGAGTGTACTTTCTGATATTTGTAAGCCTGATCGCATGGTTGACCGACCGTGTTCTGCAGTCTAGAGCCAAGTTGCAAATCGTGCGCAAGGGCAGCATCCGTGTCCACCGAACCCTGGGCTGGCTGCAGGGGTTCCAGCTGGTGAAATCGGTGTACGATCTCCGCCAGCTCCCCGGTGGCAAGCTTGGATACACCGTGATGGTGATCCTGTTCGCGTTGTCAAAGGTGACCGACTTGCTGACGACCACCTTCGTCGTGCAAGTGGAAGTGAAATCCCGGTGTCTGTTCGGACAAGGTCTGGTCCTCAACACCACCGGACCGTTCCTGACGGCCGCACCCCCGTCGAATGGCATCCCGTACATCGTCGCACACAATGCGCAGTACTTCAGTCTCAATAATACGTGTCCCGTTGGGATCTACGCCAAGGTCAACCAAGACATCAACTTCTGCCCCGGCACACAAGATATCCTGGGGAGCTGGGTGTGCTCCACCAACGCAACACGCACGTACAGCGCTGCCTACAATCAGCAAGCATTGGCCACTGACCTTATCCAGCAGGGTCTGCTGTACCCCAGCCCCGCAGCCGAGTACTCCGGCTTCGCGGACGGCTACTACAACCACCTTGTGCTGTGGAGCAGCTCGGCGGGTCTCACCAGCGACAACTCCTCCGACGCCTGGAACGTGCGCGCCGCCATACAGACCAACGCCTCCCCGTTCGATGACAACGTCACTATGCTCGCCTTGTCCTGTGCCATGGACGCCGCGCCTGCGGAGACAATTGCCCGTGCAATGAACTCCACAGCCGCACTCGCAAACTGGCGGGCCACCTTCCAGGGCCTGATGTACTACGGCACCGGTACGCCGTCTGTCTCCGACCCGGAGCGTGAATTGGCCATTCTCCTCAACACGATGACGATGGTGCAGGGCGGTGATAACATTCTTCTTTCCTTCCCCGCCCTGGATGCGGACCAGACCCAAGGATGCATCGTCTTTGCGACTGATGTGCCACTGGTCATCGAGGCGCTTGTGTTGATCGTCGCTGGACTGTTCGCCGGGCTGGTTGTTTTGTCTATCATCTATGCCTTGAGAATACGATTCACTCCTCGCGGAGTACGGGAGGCGATCAAGTATCTGCCTGATGGGGTCGTCGGATGGGCGGTCAAAGCTGTGCAGGAGCATCGGGAGGAGGATGAACCAGACCAATTGCAACGTGTGAGGGTTCGACGCCGAGAGATCAAAAACTGGCTGGTTGGCTTTGAGGGTGGCGAGCCAAGATTACGGGTCTTTCAGCCTCATTCAGCAGAGGACAGATGAAGCTGGTCAAAGATCTAAGGCTTCCCATGACACGATCAGGCGTTTCACTTCAGTATTCTCTTATTTATGTATTCACTGTCCAAAGCAATACAGGTTTGTCATTATGAATATACCTAACTCAGGAGCATAATGCATGCCTCACTGTCATGGCTACTACCAGGATAGTCAGAAGGGGTAGTCAATAGATAAGCCAACCCATTGATGTTCCTGTCTATGCACATGTTGATGGCCTGACCTGTAGCTAGAGTTCCTCTGTGTCAAGTACTTATCTAGTACTGCCTGCTTGCGGTGGAAACCAGTTCCATGATATTTTTTTACTTGAGTAGTTGTAAGAACCAGAAATGCATGATAGCATGTAGTTTCTTTTAACCAAGTGTTCATTGAGATAGATCTTATAAAACAGACGCACTACAGGAAGGAGAGCCAGTGATGATATTATAGGCAAAACCAAATGCCCATAGCTTGACCTTGACTAGTCATTAGGGCACTATATACCCTCCAGCTTACCATCCTTACCTTAGGAAACCCCACTGTCAACTAATCTTGCGCAGCTCTCATGGGCTTCTTCTTCTGCTGCCAATGTCTACTCTGAAAAGGAACAGCATAGTTTATCCTGGTTTATTTATGGTCACCCTGAGTAGGCAGAGAACATGCTTGAGAGCTATTCAATCATGCCTAGCTGTGGGCCTCCGTAGCTTGCCAATGATGATGAAGTGAAGACACAAAGCTCGAAGGCACCATAGATTGCATTTCCTATGTGAAATGAAAAATCAAAAGAGACAAAAACATACAACAGCGGGGATTCGCTGGTGGTCACCCACCCAACTACTAACCGGCCGGCGTGTGGCTTCAACGCGGTCAAAAGGTCGGTGGCTGGCGCCCTCGCGCGACGCTGCTTTTAGTTGCGCGACCCTGGGCGACCTTAGGTGAGTGCAGGATAGACAGGGTGAGTGGTCGCCCCGACTCACCCAACAGAATCCTCTCGGACCCCCGCTGACGCTCCCTCAAGCCTACCATTGGTTATTTTTCAGTTCTTGGCGAAGTACAGCGATGATGATCACTCCAGGCAGTAATCAATGCCTACATACTCTGTACTATCATGCTGAACTCTAATTATCATTCACTGACTGTATCATAATAGGTATGAACTATGAAGTATTGTTGGATTATCTTACCGCTTACTAGATTAGGAAGTATTGGAAGGTATTTGAATTGGCTTATATGGTAGAATATTCTATGTTATTTATTTAGTAGAGAATCAGCAACACTACTTATAATATCTTAAGGATGTGAATAGCTTTATATTTACCACCTTAAAGGTATAAATAGAGACTAGATAGTTACTTATTTCTGAAGAATCAGACCTTTATTAATTTCTTAATTACATACTATTACATAGTATATACTAAACTTCTTAGCTATATCTTATTTTAAGAGTTATAAGCCTAGCCTGCCCTTAGGAGATATATAGGAATTATTTATCTAACCTATTCTTCCTTATTAGTAAACTAGATATTAGACTAAGCTCTATCTTATTAGAATTAGAGAGATATCTTATTAGAATTAACTTACCTAATTAAGAAGATTTAATAATATTTAAAGCTATTATCACCCTAAGAAGTAACTATAAAATATTATACTAAGTTAATGCCTACTACATGTTGCGAGCAAGGCCCATGATATGCTCATGCTGCCTAGCACTCATGATATGAAGTAACTTATGTCACGGGCTAGAATATCTCAGTCCGAGGCTTTACTCTAGCCGTCCCAATAGGCCACGAAGGAATGAAGTGGAATTGCTGAAGAGAGAAAAACTAGATACAGGCTGTCGTCGTGCTAAGGTGATACGGCGACAGACTAACAGGAACCACGTGACCACAGCCGCATACACAATGCGGTGCGTGTCATGGGGTCAACCCATGACAACTTATGAACTAACAGCCCAGGTCATATGACCTCTTGCTAGCTGTAATATATAATTAGATATTTCTATCCAGGCTCACAGACCCCCTATTCTAGTTCTTTAGTGAGTTCTTATTATATATACCTAGTTATAGGTTTCTCTACAGCCTAGCCTGTAATATTAGAACTGTAGCGGGCAAGGCCCGCTGAATGCTCGAGCTCACTGAGCACTCGCGAACTGCCTCAGGCAGGCTAGGTCACGTGATTCTGTACTAAGTAATGTCGTGAACAGCCATGTCACGTGACCCCGTTTCT